AAAAACAACTGACTTGGAAAAAAGATAAAGGAAAAATTGTTTTAAGAATTTATTGGGCTCCCTAAAAAACATGATTTGCTTTTAAAAGCCTAAAGATAGTAATTCAAGAAATCATAAGTGAAAACTGCTCAAATCTATTAGAACCAGAGTAAAGTTTAGGAAGAATCCACTAATCACTTTCTGAAATGAACCCTCAAAAGAAAAAAGACCAAGAATGTCATAACCAAAATCTAAAGCTCCATTTCTTTTCAAAGAAAAAATATTTCAAGAGTATATAAAGGAGTTAGAGTAGCAAAGCACTGCAGTCAGGATGACACAAGACATGACAGTTCCCCTTAAATTCAGAGGAGATCTTGGAATTCAATATTCCAAAAGGGAAAAAAATCGAGGCTTACAATGAAGAATAACTTACTCTGCAAATCTGAGTAATATCTATTGGGGGGGAAGAGGAAGAAAATAAACCTTTAATTAAATAGAGGGTTTTCAAGTATTTCTCATGAAAATATCAGAGCTGAGAATTGGAATTCTGAAATACAAATACAAAAGTCCAAAGAAACCTCAAGGAAGTTTATCTAAGCAATTGGAATAGATGTTTCTGTGCTAATATTCTAACAGGAAGAGAAGAAATATGTGTCCCTTAAGAACCTTAATTATTTCAAAGGGTACTGAGGAAGTTAAATAAGAAAAACAGAGGTCATGGATGTAGATTAGTTCTGAGGGTGTGAGGAGGGGAAAAAGAAGAAAGAGTAAAAAGGAAGAATACAGAATATAGAAATCAGGAAAAAGGAAGTAAAACTTGCCATTTCTCATAATCAGGGATGTAAAAAAGGGAGAAAAGGGTTGGGGGAGTGGGCATCAGATGAGCCTCACTCTTATCTGAAAACAACAAAGGAGGATTGAACATACACACAGAGTTTGGTGTAGAAAGAATACATTAAACCAAATAGGGAAACAAGCAGGGATGGGAGAGGGTGGCAGTTAAGAGGGAAGTCAATAGCCACAAGCAAAACCAATTTCCTGAATTAAGGAATTAAAAGGTAGAGGGGAGAGAGGAAGAAAAGCAAAGAACCAAAATTTTGGGGGCAGGGGAAAAGGGACTTATATTTTCTCTTGGACAATTGGGAAAGGGCTGAACAAACTGTGGTATATTAATGTAATGGAACAGTATGATGTTACAAGAAATGATGATAAAGAAGTGATTTCAGGGACTTCTGGGTAGCATGAACTAATGCAGAGTGAAGTGAGTAGAACTAGGAAAACAATTTCTACAGGGCCAGCAACACTGCACAGAAAAACGACCTTGAAAAGTTCAAAACTCTAAGACAATGACCAACTATGTCTCCAGAAAAAACTATGATGAAACATGTTCCTCACCTCCTGACAGAGAGGTGATGGAAAAAATGTGCAGAAAGAGAAACATTTGTGGATGTGAATTCCTGCTGCTTGACTATGCTTTTTTTGTTGAAGAGGCTTTTATTTTCCTCTTGATTTTTATTTGGAGAAGGGGTAGTAGGAAGGGGAAGAGCTAGCAATAGTGATTTAAAAAAAAAAGAGGTCCATTATAACATTTTATAAAATGTAAAGAAGTTGAGAAAGCGCATACAAGCAGGACAGTTTTGAAAGTAACATGTACAATTTATTATATATAATATATATATTTTAAAGTAAACAGTACAAAATAGAGACTCAGAGTTTCACACAGAATGTTCTTCTGCATCCTGCTGCTCTTTTTTAGTGTTTAAGTTCAGAATAAATTTTTTTAAAATTAGAGTCAAAATCTGCTTCTCTATGATCTCCATCCGTTCCTCCCAGTTCTGCCATCTAAGGCCAAAACTATCTAATAGTTCTGAACATGTCTAATAGTTCATGTCTTAGTTCCACGTGACAGCCCTTCAAAAACATGGAGCTATCATGTTCTCCCACCCCCACTTTTGTCTTCTTTAGCTTAAAGATGCCCTAATTCTTTCCAATTCTCTTCTTCATGGCATGCTATCAAAGGTCTTCATACTCCTGGTTGCCAAACTCTAGCCATTAGCCAACTTATTAATGTCCTTCCTAAAAAGTGGCAGAACCCAGAAATGAACACAATATTCCAGATATGGTCTGGCTAGAGCAGAAAACCTATTCCTAGAAACTGACTCTCAGTGTAGCCTAGGAAACCACTAGCTTTTCTGGTTGCTATATCACACTGTTGGTTCACACTGAGCTTACAACCTACTAAAATCCAATTAAATTATGTCTAACCAAGCTCTCTTCATCCCCTACTTAAAAAGTTTATTTTCTAAATCCATGAATAAAATGTAATATTTATCCCTATAACCTATGGCCCAGCACATCTCTGTGTTTAAAAGGAACAGGTTCAATTTTAGGGACTTCTCACACAGATAACTAGAGTTTTACCCCTCTAATAATATAAGAATTTGACTTTTTGTCTTGGTTTCAACAGAAAGGGGAAAAAGTCATCAGGTCACATGCAAGCACCCAGGCTAACAAAATAGGCTATCACACTGGCTTTATTTAACCCAACAAAAAAAAAAAAAAATGCCAAGATTTTGTATCCAAACCCACAACAAATGCAACTCTCCTTTCTTGCCAGGGGGCCTACACTTCCCACAGGAATCCAAAGTCTGCTATACTTGGGGTTGTGACTCTCTAATAACTCAAGTTACTACAAAGTTGACGCCCTTCGCAGGACCTATACATGCTACATAAATCACAGCCACTAGTCAAGAATAAGATAAAGTTTTGCTGCTCCAAATCATGGCTAACATTAATTGTTCTTCAGGTCCAGGACCTTAGGTAAAAAATAATAATAATAATCATGGTTTTGCAAAGCACTTTTTATATATTGCTTAATCTGATCCTCACAACAACCCTCTGAAGTAGGTGCTATTGCCATCCCCATTTTACAGAAGAGGAAGAAGACTGAAAGAAGTTAGGTGACTTGCCTAGGTCTACACAGCTATAAAATATCTGAAGTAGGATTCCTGATTCTAGGTCCTGTAACACTCTATCAACTATGCCATCGAGCTGCTTCCCCTCCATCACTGTCATTGCCTTGATGCCATTCCTGAAGCTATGTGAATAGCCCCTCCAGCCCATCCCTACAGGATGCTTCTACAAGGAACCAAGTCCAAGTTTTCAAATAGTCCCTCTCTCCTCTGTCCCCAACCCCGTGCCCCTTCCAACTTACTAACTCCAAAACTCTTTTAAAAGTCCACATCCAAGGAGGCTGACTTCTTCATCCAAGTTATGTTAATCATCTTAATAATCAAGTCACTGACCTCCAATTTCTGATCTGTAAACCTCTGCAATAAATGTCCATGTTAATACCCAGGATAAGGTCAGTTAACACCTCAGCAAAGAGTCATCAAGATTCAAATTTTCCCTGACAAGCAGGATTCTGGACTATCTGACGATTAGGCTGCACACGAACAGACTCTCCACATACCTATTAAGTTTCATCTTGTTAGACTCAGTTAATTCTGGATAACTTTTTATCCTGTCTCTGTCACCCAATCTGTTCGCTATTCTGAAGTTTCACCTGCAAATCTTACATGTCTTTATCCAAGCCATTGAATAGATAGATATGTTAAAGGGCACAGGATCAAGGAAAGATCCCTGTGGCATTGTACTAGAGAATAATCTAACTTCACTATCTCTCCAAATCTCCCCACATCATCCACAAGTAGACACTAAGGAAGACTAAAATGGAAAAAAAAAAAAGAGCTAATGTGGATTCAGGAAGAAAGAGACAGGCTTAAGATATATGAAAGAAAATAAAAACTAAAGGCAAGTTTGCTTGCTAAAATAATGTCATAACATTTTTCCTATGAAAAACGTATCAAGGGGCAGCTAGGTGGTGCAGTGGATAGAGCACTGGCCCAGTAGTTAGAAGGTCCTGAGTTCAAATCTGGTCTCAGATCAGACATTTGATACTTGCTGTGTGACCCTGGGCAAGTCACTTAACCCCAACTGCCTTGCCAAAAAAGAAAAAAGAAAAATGTATCAAAATTTCATGTATTCAAACTTGTGATACTTATCTCTGTAGACCACTAAAACTATCTGTTCACGTTGAAGCAATGTTTAAGCAATCAGTAAGATTAAGTCTTGGGATTAAGGAAATAGTTCCATTAATGCCTTAGAAAATATTCAGAGTAACAATAATGTATATGACTGATTAAAAAAATAAACATAACAGATCTTACATGTATAAATAACTGTGTCCTTCAATAGTTAGCTTGGAAAGCTTTTAATTTATTCCAACAACATTATCATTGCTCAAAATATTTTTGGAATATCAATTTGCCAGCCTCAAAAACCAATTTCATTACTTTTGCAATCACATTTCCATCTACATACAATACAACCAGACAAACAGCCTGGGTCTAAGAATTTAGCATTCTGAAAATCAAATTCACATTCAAAGAATAAAGATTTGCACCCACTGATGATATTTAAAAGAAATCACTCTGAAGGCCATTCCAAAAAAAAAAAAAAAAAGATTTTATCAAAAGGAAAAAAAAAGGCAGTATTATGAGAATAATACATGGCAGATATATGTATACGTATAGGAATATACGTACGTACACATATACATACATACCTAGTCCTTTGTATACATTTTGAGCTCAAAAGGGAAAACTTTCATTGGGATAGATGAGTTACTTAATTTTAAATTTTAATCTACTTTTTAACTATACCACGTATATGAGTTCCTAGCATAGAAATTCACAAATAAGATTATGAATAATACAAAACTACAAGCTAAGGGGATACACTTAGGGCAAGTGAACAATAATTTAAAATATAAATATATTTTGCAAGAAAACTATGCTGCCGATTATTAATTGCCCTTTCGGTGGAAGTGCCAAGAATTCTCTTCAAAACTTGCAAACCACTCCAGAGCTTTTCTCGAAATTCAAAGGATATCATTTACACCCCTAAAATTCTAAAGTTATCCATGTTCTTCATCACCTGGAAATTCTGTATCTACTTACATTTTAGAGCACTGAAAGCTAGTTCATAGGACAAACGCTGGCAGTTTTCATCTTCAAAATCCGGCAAGGCCAGAACTGGTTCACTGCCATACTTTATCAAGACTTTGTCGGGGGCCTTTTCAATTCTAATGCCCTGAAAAATATTAGCTGCCTTCATATAAACAATGTCCTGATAGCCATTTTTTTCATTTAAACACATTACACTTCTTTCTTTGGATCCCGATTTCTCCGTATGTGTCAGCGAAGTGAGTCTGGATAATTCGTTTTTAATTTCTTCTTTGGAAAACTCCAGTTCACTTGCAGAGTTGATCATGCTTCCCAGTAATTAGAATTTCGGTAAAACAAGAGGGAATCGCAAGTCATGAATCACTGGGCTCCGCGACTGATGGTGTCCCCCACATCCTAAACATGATTTCTGCGGAGGGGGGGAGAAAAAGGATCTGGGTCAGGCAATGAAAACGCCCTTCGTGCCCGCATGAGCGATGCCCAGCTGGGGACCCTCGACGGGCTGAGGCCCACACGAGGGGATCCTTCCCGAAAGGGCCTTTTCTCCGGTGTATGGGGAAGGGGATGGGGTGGGAGGTAGTTATTAAAACCGGGGGGCGCGTAACCCAAACCTTCTCCCCGCCCAGGAGGCACAGAGCGGGAGGGGCGAGGGGCCCAACCCCCTCGGGGCCTGCTCGTCCCCACCCCTCCCCCCGCGCCGGTCCTCCCGGCCCCCCCCCCCCCCCGCCCCGGGCTGGGCGCTGGAAGCGCGGACGGACTTCGGCGAGGGGAGCGAACGTCCCCGGAGGAGGGTCACCCCTACCCAAAGAGGGAGGGTGAGGACGCTTCCCCAACCAGGGGGTGGGTGGTGTTTCCCCCAACGAAGTGAGAGGCAGCTGCCGCACTTAGCGAAAGGGCCAGACGGTTTCCACAACAGGTGGAAGACGAGACCAATCGCGGTCACAGTAGCCGGGGCCACTCCCCCGCCTCAATAGCCTCGGGACGCGTAAGAGGCGGGGCCCCGCGCGCGCCCCGCTCTGCACACGGCCCCACAGTCCCTCCCCCTTGCCCTCCTCGGGCCGGCGGGCGGGGCCCCGGGAGGCCGTTTCATTCAAATATAGACGGTGCCACTACGCTCCTCCGCATGGGAGCGGCCCCCGAGCTTTCGCCCGCTGGTCCCGCTGCCAGGTGAACCCCCAAAACTTAGAGACCTAGTCCTAGCTCCTGGTCCCTCTGCGTCTCTGGGAGCTGAAGGAGACAGAAGGATGAGTGGATCCGGCTGTGGAGAGAACGCCTCAAGGACAGGTTTCCCCCTTCTCTTAGGAAATCGCACCGTCCGGCGCCCGATCTCCATAGTAACTGGGCGGGCTCCGCCCAGGTGATGCCAGAGTCTGCAAGCGCTTCCCACGCCCTCTTCTTGCTTCTTCTCTGTAGGAGCATCCCTCCCTGGCGTGGGTCTCTGCCCCTCGTCTTGTCTTTTCTCTTTCCCTTTCTTTTCCTATGCCCACATCCCTCTCCATTTCTCCCATGATCCCTCCTTTCCGCCCCCTTTCCTCCCACGCGAGATACCTTCCGACACTTGCAGCCAAATAAAAGTATAAGCCCTGGGTCTGTATCCAAGATCTTGAGTGAGGACCCCTCACCTTCTTTCACCAAAATAAATAAATAAGTACATGAGTCCCTCTTTCCCAGGTTCCATTACCAGTCTTCTTAAGGATCTTGCCTTAAACCCAAATCACTCTGGCTGTCATTGATTGGCCAACAATAGTCCCAGCCAAGCCCCACTTTGTTTGGGCCCTGATTGGCTCAGAGTGAATGTAAATCGCAATTGTTTCTGTTTTAGCTAGAAGCCCTGAGGGTCTTCCCCTCCCAGATTGATTTTTTTTTTTCTTTAACTAGGTAAAGAGGCCATTTTCTGCCTCATTTCTTACCTACCCTTAATTACTGAATAGGCTCTGCCTCAGTCAAACTGAGACCTGTTGAAGACCTTAGCTTGAAAAGACCAAGATCCTCCGTTGCATCTGGGGCCGTCTCCAGTGGTCCTGATTCATATCTGCCCACTGGACCCAGATGGCTCTGGAGGAGTGACGCTGGTGACTTTGCACAGCTCTCCCTCACTTAAATCCAACACTTGCGTGTCTTGGCATTACCTTCCTGAAGTCGAAGTACTGTTCCAGAACAAAGGACAAACAACATCAGTCTTACTTCCTGCCCCTGTGGAGTGGCCACAGTAATGTTTTAAAATCTCCTGTAGGACTGGACCAAGTCTTTAAAAAACATCAAGTGCAGAGTAAGAAGTTCAGGAAATATTTGTTGAATAAATGAGCATTAACTTAAAAAAGAAAAAAATCATGAAGAGGTAGATTTAAAAAATGATATTTGTTTCTGCTTTCCCCCCAATGAAGTATTAAATAGGTGCTCCAAACCATACGCTCTAACAACTCTTCCCGTTTCTGGGTAGTCCATCAGTTACCTTGTCTTCCCCTGTAACATCTCTTGAATCTGAGCCCTTCTCTCAACTCACCCTCCAGTGAGGAGCTCATTGTGAGAGATGATCTCTAAGAAGTGAAGCCTCCTCAAAGGGTTAATAGTTTTTGTTAATAGTTCTCACAAAGGGCAGCAATTAGGAGATCACTGGTCATTTGAAGAGAGATAAGATCAGAAGCCAGATAGTAAGAAGAGTGGGAGGAGAGAAATTGGAGGCACCTGTTGTAGATGGCCTTCTCAAGGAATTTAATTGTATTGTTGAAACACACTCCCTTCTGACCTTGTCAAAACCCCCTCAGACCCTGTTTTTAAGCAAGGAGCAGAGGGAGTATAATGGCCCTACCTCCCCAACCTAAACTGCAGGACTTCCCGCCTTTTCTTGTCTCCGGGCAAACTTGTGTACTCTGTTGCTGGGGGAGATTTCTGTGAATAGATTGTGCCCCCTGAAGCCCAACCAGTGGAATAAAGGGGAAGGGGGTTTTGGGTGGAAGAACTCGAGTTAGGGTATAAATAAGCTTTGCTTTCTGTAACCAACTTGTACCAGTATGTGTCCTCCCTGGCTGGCACCATTAGGGCAACCAAGGGACGGTACCCTTTCTCATGAGAAAGCAATAAACGCCTTTCTGCTTTCAAGGTACCCAAGTCTTTGTTTTGAATTTGAGTAGTGGTCTCTGTCCCACACATCATCATCTCTCACCTATATTGTGGCCTCCTAGTTGTATCCCTCACTTCATCTCTTTCCCATTGCAATTCATCTTCCAGGAAAGCTGCCAAAGTTTATACCCACGCCCAGATCTCACCATGGTACTTCCCTACTCAATACATTCCAGGAGCCCCTATTGCCTGTGTTTGGCTTTTTAAAGTCCCTCACAATCTACTATCAATCTATCTTTACAGTACACTATGTGGCACTCTGTAGTCCAGCCAAATTGTCCTCTCTGTTCCTCATCACATCTCCATCACGCCCCCCCCCCCCCCCACACTTTTGCTCTGGGCCTCCCCCATACCCAGAATTCACTCTCTCCTATTTTGTACCACATGGAATCCTTTTAGACACAGCCCTAGCACCACCTTCTACACAAAGCCTTTCCTGTTCCCATAACCCAACTCCAGGAGCCCTTCCTCATTTTAACTACCTTGTTTTAATCTGTGCATATGCATGTATATTTACAAGTTTTCTCTCACACAAAATATAAGCTCTTTGAGAACAATGATTGTTTAATATTTTTGTCTTTGTATTCCCAGTGCCTAAACCCTTATCTGGGGCAGCTAGGTGGCACAGTGGATAGAGTACTGAGCCTGAAGCCAGGAAGATTCATCTTCCTGAGTTCAAATCTGGCCTCAGACACTTGATAGCTGTGTGACCCTGGGCAAGTCAATTAATCCTGTTTGCCTCAGTTCCTCCTCTGTAAAATGAGTTGGAGAAGGAAATGACAAACCACTTCAGTATCTTTGCCAAGAAAAACCCAAATGGGGTCACCAGGAGTTAGGACTGAATAACAACAAATTCATTATCTGGAACATAAAAGGAGATTAATAAATGCTTGATTGATAGACTCATATCACTGCAGGTATATAAAGACATAGAGGGTTTATAGGACTAAGAGCTAGTGTTTGTCCTCCAGGAGCTCTCTCACTTTTAGGTGGTTCAAGGGATATTCAAAGACAAAAATGAAACCAATCCCTGACTTCAAGGAACTCACATTCTCCTGGAATCACACATATTGGTTAGATGTTTTCTTAACACAGGAATGGTGCTAAGGGCATTTAAGATGACTACATGTTTTTTCTCTGTATATCTTTTAATATTTGAGAGCTTTTTCTATGCCCAAAGGGCTATAAAACTGTGTATACAACATTCATAGCAGGTCCTTTAGTGGTGGCAAAGAATTGGAAATTGAGGGGATGCCCATCAATTGGGGAACAGCTGACCAAGTTATGGTATATGATTGTGATGGAATTATATTGTGTTATTACAAGAAATGATGAGCAGAATGCTATCAGAAAAACCTGGAAAGACTTACATGAACTGATGCAAAGCGAAGTGAGCAGAACCAGGTGTACACAGTAACAACAATATTTATGATGATCAGCAGTGAATGACTTAGCTATTTTCAGCATTACAGTGATCAAAGAAGGACTTGTGATGAAAAATCTATCCATCTCCAGAGAAAGAAATGATGGAGTCTGAATGCAGATCAAAACATACCCTTTTTTAACTTTATTTTTCTTGATTTCTTCTGATCTGTGTTTCATGACAACACATGTATAGCCTATATCTTCTCAATGAGGAAGGAGGAAGGAAGGGAGGGAGAAAGAGAATTTGAAACTCGAAAAATTTTGAAAAATGAATGTCAAAAATTGTTTTTACATGTAATTTGGGGGGAAATAAAATATCAAATAAATTTAAATATAAATTTAAATTTAAAAGGCTATATGAGCTCTCGATCCAAATCTGGGTTTCTTTATACCATTAAAGGTAGTCGAAACTGATACAGATTATTAAGTATATGTGTACCCTTATTGAACAATTACATAAACTAAACTTTGAAAACTGAAGGAGTAAGGTTAGGACATTTTGTAGTTTGAATGTGGAAGTTAATGACTTCCAGTTTCTAATCTCTAAGTTACATGTCCAAATATTGAAAATTAGTTTTTTTCTCTTACCATATGTCAATTTTATCAATTTTGATGGCCTCCAGCTCGCTGAACTTTGTTGGCAGGAATCATCAGGAGTCTATTGAACTGACTTTAATGCCAATTGAAATACTTTACCTGATTTTATAGGTCCTCTCTAATTTCTCTTAGATCTCATCTGTGTAGGCATGAAAATATGGAAGGTCACGTGCTGAAAAACAGAAGAAAAAATGTAAAAGTGATGTGAAAAATTAGTTTTAAAAATAACACCTTTTGCCTTAGCTACTAAGGCTTTTTCTAAAATGTTTTTCAAGTCAGGATTAAAATTTGGGGAGATATAGCCAACTATAAAGAAAATATGTTATAATTTGTTTTTTAAAATGAAAGGGGCTGGGAAGGTATAGGAGGTAGTAAATATCTGTCATCCCTGCTACTGGGGAGATCAAGGCTGATGGAGCATTTGAGTTTGGGACATCTAGGCTGTAGTCAGGTTAAAGCCTATTAGGGTATCTGTGCTACTTCTGGCACCAATACTGTGAGCCCTGAGATTACCAACCAATTTAAGCGGGGGAAAATTGGTCCAAGTCTGAAACAAAGTAGTAGTCCATTAGTGGCCGTTGTACTTCTAGCCTGGGTGAGATAGAGAAACCCAGTGGGTGGTTGGAGCCAAACAGAGCAAGCTAGAGTTAAGAGAATCAGGAATCAAACAGAAGTTTAATTTCTTTTTTTTAATTAATAAATTTATTTATTTTTTGTTTTCAACATTTACTTCCACGAGATTTTGAGTTCCAAATTTTCACCCCATCTCGTCTCTCC